AGAGTGTAGGGTGTGGGATGACTGAAACTTTCACACTGTGTTGTTGTGTTGATTGCCCTACTTTCAATAGAGTATGGGGTGTGGGATGACTGAAACTTTCACACTGTGTTGTTGTGTTGATTGCCCTACTTTCAATAAACTGTGGGGTGTGGGATGACTGTGGTAGAACTTTGGATTTTGGAGCTGGTGAACTGAGTTTGAATCTATGTAATTGGAATAACACAAAATATTTCCCATATGTTAAGGTATGGGTGTGTTATAAGGGTGATAGTCAATGCTTTAGTGTGGGTGGTAGGATACTGTTGTCTGGCTGCCTTCCCTTTGGTCATTAGTTTAAAATTAGGGATGATGACAGATGGCTTTAGAAGCTTTGTCATGAAAACAAGTACAATTTAATAAATTGTTTTCCAAACAAATGTTTTATATCAAGAACCTGGATACAAAATGAGACAAGTGCAAGTTTCAGGGTATACTTATTACATACAAATTATGCTCGGCAAAATATGTGAGCAGTCATTACAAGTGATAATATGTATTTGTTTATGTAATATATAATTTTCCACACATCTTATAAACATCCTAATATGACTTTTTTTTTTTAAGTTGTAGTTAATTGTGAGAATTTTTAACATTTTCTTTAGGAAAATGAAAAACCACCTACTGTACCATATATATACCAAACCCCAAAAGACCATGAAATTGACCTTAGGCTATTCAATAAAGGTAAACCTTTTCTCATTTTTCTAGACCAATAAGAAAAATGAAAGTGCCATTTTAAAATTGATACATATTAACACATTTAACTGGTATAGTTTTTCTGTGTGAAATGACGTGTCCCCTAAAGCCATCATGTGAGGGTTGTTTTTTTGTGCATATTAAATCAACTCTACGACTCTTTTCTGTCCTCGCAATCAACTCCAAGATTATCTTCTGTCCTCCCAATCAACTCCAAGACTTTTCTGTCCTCCCAATCAACTCCAAGACTTTTCTGTCCTCACAATCAACTCCAAGACTTTTCTGTCCTCACAATCAACTCCAAGATTATCTTCTGTCCTCCCAATCAACTCCAAGACTCTTTTCTGTCCTCCCAATCAACTCCAAGACTCCTTTCTGTAATAAAACCATCATGATTTATGGTTTAGAGGCAAGTCATACCAATTTTGAAACTTAGCTTAAACTTATCTGTTTTAAATGATAAAATCATTTGAAAAAAAAGGGTATGAATTCCTTTTGTATTGAAATTACCTTGATTATGATGGTCACAAAATTATACTAAGATATGTTATAAAAAATTCCTGTGGCTCATTATTCTTAAACAAAATTATACTAAGATATGTTATAAAAAATTCCTGTGGCTCATTATTCTTAAACAAAATTATACTAAGATATGTTATAAAAAATTCCTGTGGCTCATTATTCTTAAACAAAATTATACTAAGATATGTTATAAAAAATTCCTGTGGCTCATTATTCTTAATTACTTGT